TTAAGTTTGCTCACTCTCATACTCTAGCCTGTAGTTATGGGTGCCCTTTAGGACACATACAATTGTAATGAAGTTACTTCGAAGGACTTGGGCGTGGCTAGCGTGACAAATTTGGGCGAGCTTCGAGGCAATCAAAGGTACTCTCAGTCATGAGCAACTTTGTCTCCAGGCTGAGAGGTCACAACATAGTGGCATGGAAACGCGATTGTGATGCCGAAGAAGAGACTCGCAAAACGGACTCTCTTGTCAGGGCCGTAACGAAAGCAACCAAAGGCCAATCAAACATCAAGAAGCTCGAAACTACGGAAGTGCAGATAGCATTGGCGCTCCTGGGATCCAACCCGTTCAGTATGCCCCATTCGAGTAACAACGGAACCGTTACGAAAACCTCAAGGGTGCTGCCTCTAAGATCTGAAATGAATATCGACCAGTGCACATTTATGATTGAATTGGAACTGAAATTAATTGGCGACTTTACTAAAATAAACCGCATAACAACTTCGCACTCAGAACTCGATCATGAGGAAAACAAAGATATTTATATTGCGTTATGAGTCTGAATGTGTGGTGCTTGTCTGAAGAAAATGCCACCACAAAGCTATGCATTTAGTTTAAGATTGGACGAATGACCCTGACAACAGTAGATCGAATAATTAGGGCATACAGAGAAGTGAACGCCACTAACGTCACGAGTATGGCACAAGAGCAGTGAAAATTAAGTTTATGGTGCCGGCTTGCTGTTTTATCAAGATAGGTGTCTTACAGGGTCAGATGGAATGAAGCAGCAACCTGACCCTGTAAAACACTAACTGAATGTCAGCAATCACTACAGTATGATATATAGCTGTAGTGTAATGGGCTAAATTTACACAGTTGCGGAAATACTTACGTTCGACTATTAGTTAATCATAACTTCCGCAAATACACTAAAACTGGAACGACTCAAGAAAGATTAACTTGGTCCCAAGGCAAAAACGCGCTTCAGTTTGCGAAGTGTTGCGTAATTCTTGCGAGTGCAGCGGAATGCACGTTTACTGGTCATGCAGAATCGAGGCATTTGGTAATTGAGTTTCTAGGGTAATCAGTTTTATGTTAATTTGGTGCAATCCAACCATACGCGTTCGCTAACATGTTCATGATCAGCCTGTTTCAGTACACTGCTGAATCAATGCCCATCAGGCAGCTCTCTGCCAAACTTTGTGCCTCGCTTCCGGCGCCCACTTGAAGCCTGCATAAATTTTAACACTCAGTTTCCTCCTTTTTTTTTATCACTTACTTAGGCACCATTTTTCCTTATCGAAAACTATTTACAGTTTCCGAGAATATTTCCAGCTCAATGTCGTTCTATTTTTTCCATTAGTCTATTTGCATGACCAGTATGCAGCGACCTATCCACGCTTTCAATCTCCAGCCCATTCATGTGATCCAAAACAAGTTTCATTCCACCATGGGCTTGTAGTCTTATGAGCCCTTAGCCCATGTGGTAGAGGTTAGAGTAAAGAACTGAAAGAAAGCATAGAGACGGCCTGTAAGTAATAGGGATTTTTCCGTTTAAAATTGTAGAAAACTTTTGAAACAGAATCCATAAAATCAATTTTTTATGGCACACAACAGATCATATAAACTTGAATTTCTCCATCAGCCAAAAGTAAACTAAATACGAGAGCCGTGATTAGTACGCTGTTTTACAGCTGAAACCCGTCAGTAACAAAGCTGTTAAAATATGCCACATCTTTGACGTTTACGATTGAATTAATGAATCAGCTTTATGACTATAGTGAAGACATGCTGTATCCCGTTGAGCAGGGCAAAGAATAAAGTTTTACAGTGCAATAAGAGAAAAATGCATACGTGGAGAATGGTCATGGTTCACCTGCCAGTTTGCTATTGATATCAAACGAACTCGTGAAGATTCTCCACAGGCATGACGCTTGTAGAACATGGATTAAGTCTGGCACCACCGATCGTATCATATGAACAGCAGCGTATTGGCGGTTGACTGAACTAATGAAATTTTGAATTTCAAAACTATCCACATTCATGTGTAACAGGAGAAGTTAGAAGGATGATTAAAACATTGAATGTTTAAGAAACAAAGCCGTTTTGATGGCCTGGCTTCCACAAATCATTTAATGTTCCAAAATCTTGTCTGAAGCACCATTTTGAGGCTGGCACTTTCGAAAAAATTGCAGTAGCGTTCCTTTCCCAAATAATATCTGTATAGAAAATTGAAATTAAAGATGTAGATACACTCATACTTTTCATCATGATTCTGGCATTATTCAGTGCTCATTTCAGCGAAAAGTGCTACATTTTCTCTGAAGTAACGACCTAGCAAAACGACTAACAAAGAAATTCAATTCGTAATAGTCTACACAATATAACGAGCAATTATGTAACACAGTAAAACTGGACAATTATTGTAGCACTGCATCGATCAAACTGAATTGGTAAAAACTCCGCGGTTGCCTCTCCCAAACTCGGATGAAAAAGGAGAAAGGTTGGGATCCGGGACGAGGAATCTGTAAAACTCAGCCACCTGCACATCATGTCATCGATCATTATATCGGCTCGATTGTCGCCCTTGTCAGCAAGAGCCGCGCAGTCTGCCTGGGGACCAACGCAGAGTGGGAAAAGTCAACGAAAAAACCTACTAACCGCCTATAGGCCGCCGGGGGAGTATCAGCATGACAACAGTTGCCGAAGATCGACAAAACGACGTCGAAGATACCATACCGGTCACCAACGCAGTCGCAACCGGTTCTGAACAGAGGAGGCAGACACCGCGATGCCATCATAGTACTCAGATAAGGCTCGATGGGAACGACACCGTCAGTGGGAGCTTACAGTCGGAAATTGGAACATATCCTCACTCAGAGAAAAAGAACAAG